TGAGCATTGAAGGCAATCTGAGACCCAAAGTCGCATGGCTGGAAGATGTCGGCCTGAGTCGAAAGCAGGTAGCTAAAGCCGTTGCCTTGTTTCCCAGACTTCTGAGTTACAGTATCGACCGAAACCTCTCTCCCAAGTTGAGCCTCCTGAAACAACTGTTCTCCGGCGGAATGATCGGCAGTTTGATAGTGTATCATCCGGCGCTGCTCGGTTACAGCTATGCTCGCCTGTATCATCGTTCGGGCATCCTGCGACAGCACGGTTGCCTGTTGAAGCTTGCCACAGTAATCTCTTTCACCGATGCGAAGTTTGCGCGGCGTTTTCCGGTGGCAGAGTAAAGTTCCACAACGCATATAGATTGGTTTTGGAACTGCAATGTCTAGCCGCGGCCGTCGGCATATTGTGGCAGTCTTCAGCAATTCCATGAGATCGGTCGGACACTTGAGGATGCCTGTAGGACTTCTCGATTATTGCTTGGTTTCAGCGATGGGGGAGCGTTCGTTGTGCTACATCGCCGAAAAAAAGGTAGAGGTGGTCCTGCACTTGCAAACTTGGGCAATTCGGCCGTCGTGGACTGAATAATAATGGATAGAATTGCCCCGGAGAGTTACTGATTGGTGAGATTTTTTGCGTGAACTAAACAGGCCTCAGCAGAAGCAAAAAAAATCAACCTTCATCCTAAACCTTACGCAGCCTAGCCCTTGAATTGTCAAGCATCGTAAACCCTGCCCTTGAAACTATAATAATCCTCGACCCGAAAATTTAACCCGGCACCCAACTCCGTACATCAAAGATGCTGCCCGAAGGAGTCTGGAGTTTCGGAACGCTATTTCTCGTATGCTAGTAGGTCTTACGGGGCAAGTTCCAGGGTTCTGGGTTTGCTGCAGGGGACCTGGCCGGGCCAGCTCCCATCAAGCATCAAGCCTGTGTAAAAAGGTGCAGGTATGCAGAGGATGTCTCCTTTTTGATTGCGGTTATCACTTGAAGCCTGGCCGTGAAATATTGCAGTGGTAACTTTTTGCCGTGAGACTCGAACTAGCCGAAAGAGTGTATTGTCAGTCGCACAGATCAACATCCCTCGCCAACTAAACGCGCAGCCCCGAAACCCTCGAAGCCCAAACACGGAAGCCGGGCTCCAGGCAGACACACCCGGCCGGGAAAAACCGAAGCTGCACGCGACTGGGCAGCAGACCCGGCACGCACAGCCGGGGCCGCAAATCAAATCGAGCTTTACCCTAAACCCGAAACCTTGAATCCTAAAGCATCCTAAAGCCTAAACTGGGCTATGGGTGTGTGCCTGTTCGTGTTAAGGGTTTAGCGCTTCACGGCCTTCGAGGCCTGGGGTGTTGAATGTTTGACAACTGAAGCCAGCAAGGCCGCAGACAAATTGAACGTGCTATATTGCCTTCACAACTCCCGGCCAAATCGTTGCAACATTTTGCCTAGTACTCAATCACAGCTCTTCGGCAGGTTCCGATGTGCCAGTACTGTATAGTATAGCCCTGAAAACAGAGAACAGTAGTACAAACAAGAGCAAAGCAAGAATCAATAGAAAGCCACGGCCCTCAATTAAATCCTGCAGCCGAGGTGGTTTGCAGACTTCGCTTCAACGGAGGACTATGAGGCACGGTGTGTCGAGGTAGCCGTGGGGTGCGTTTTTTTTGTTCGGTTGACTCGGGAGGTTTCCTCGTTCAGGAAAGTCCCTCAGCTGTTCAAACTTATAGATCATCCCGAAGCCTTTAAAATACCGCAGTCAGTGCCTCAAATTGTGTCACTTTGCCTGGCAGCTCAGGCTCCAGAGTATCGGCTTAGACCCAGCAAACGCCCAGCCTGTGGAGCCTTGCCTGCCTTGTCGAAACCCCAAGCCTCGCAATCCACTTGAAACCCGAAACTACCGGAATTATGAGGGTATTGAAAAGAAGGAGCCTCAATCATGTAGGCTTTGGATGCAAGGAAGGTTGTAAACCTGAATCCTACAATCCACAACAGTGCGACCCTATAAGCCGAATGTCGAAGCCCGGTTTAACCAAAGTCTCAAGCCCGGCCCCTTAGTAGAACTCGAAGAGCTTCAACCGCGGTCTAGCTCAGATGCCACCAAGCCTGATAAATACGGACTTTTCCTTGAAATTGGCATCGGGATCGAATTTGGGACCCCTCAATTGAGGGGTTTGGGATGGTTTGGGCTTGTCTGTGAGGCTTATGCAGCTCACCCCGAGCATCAACAGGAGCCTTGGCAAACACTTTCCAGGGGATTACAACTTATTTTGTCAGTGTCGTCACTTCGTGTTATTGGTGTCGTTGCTAGTGTGAGCTCTTGTTGTTACGGCCATCCATGTCATTACTACTCTTGTATTCACTTGCCCGCATTTTTCAACAATAAGTACATGCACACATGCATGCATAGGTACACGTACGTAAGTATGTACTTACGAACGCTTAAATATATATGACGCATATGGCGGTAGTCGTGAACGAAAGCATAATTGAGAGCATGCAAACTACTTGAGTCTATGTACTTGTGTGTTTTTACATGTTTAGCAATGCAACCGTTTTGAGTCACCACTTGTCTGGATTAGGAGGGAGGAGCCCGAAACCCTATTCTAAATATTAAGGCCCCTACATTAGGATTTTACCAGGTTTCTTAGGAAGGAGAGTAAGGGTTCAGGATTTCAAGCTTGGCCTCGGTGATCCTCCCTGTGCCTGGCAGCAGTGACCAGCCCAGAGAGCCCGATACCCCTTAATTCAGGAATATGCCTTACAGTATAGGGGCTTATAGGGGCTTAATGTTATGATTTAAAGTAGTTTCCTTGCTTAATAGATTAGGGAGTATTGGGCTCTGTGGCAAAACACTTGGAAGCTGAGCTCTTCATAACACAGAGGTGCTGGTGGAACGACTGCGGGACATGGGTCGGATGAACAACCTTGACAAACTCGCCAGTCGCTTTTGTGATTACTGCACTTGTTTCCGATGCTGCTGATGCGGTTTGGCCCACGTGCTCTTCTCTTCTCATAGATGGCTATTGCATTAGTTACGTCGAAATGTCACAGCGATTGCTCTTGGCCGCTGGAAGCCGACAAAGGTTATTGCCGACCTCATCAAACCCATCATGGAGCCTGGTACTCGTGCGGCAATCCAATACACGCGCTGAGCCTGTGAGCTGCCGGTAGTGTTGGGGGACTTGGCTCCTGCCATTGTTGTTAGCCTCCAACGGCATAAACCTCTTACATGTTTACCTACTGCTACAACAACAACAACAACTACAACTACAACTACAACTACAACTACAACTACTACTACTACTACTACTACAACGACGACGACGACGACTACTACTACTACTTGCCACTTCTTGTTGACGTCTTTTCCGGACCCTGGCACCGAGTCCTTGGAACTGCTCACAGTTACAGTAAATGGTTGCGAATGTTGTATCGTACCTGTGCTGTTTGGGAACCAAAGTCCCTTCATAACACTGTGTAGCATAAACCGTACCGGGTTCCTCCATCAGAGATCCCGAAGTAAGCGGCTCTATGTCAGGGGCTCGAAGACTACAGGGACATGCTTTGCGACGGCGGATGATCAGGATAACACTTTGTTGTGAGATGTCGGGGCCTTGCGAGTTGGACCGTTGCTTGTTGTACTCCGGCCAAGATCAGCTCCCATCTTCACATGTCAGTCTTGAGGGAGTGGTTTGTGGAACATCATCCAAGTGGTTTGGGGTGTGAGTGGGAAGGGACTGAGGGGGCCGATTGTACTGGCAAGCACCCTCGCAGACTTACGTTCAGGGTCGAAAGATTTCATGTCTGGTCCAGAGTCGCAAGAGTGGCCCCTTCGAACTTAGCTGCCCATTAACAGACCCTCAACAATTTCCCGAGATTGACCCCTGGACCTTTTAACCCTATAGAAGTGGCCCGAATTCCGAAACCATGGATGCTCTTACTCTTCGTAGTGGCAGAAGCTTAGATGCCCCATTGGGATGTGGCCAAAGCGGGCTCTGTCCAAGCGCACTCGTTGCCAAAAACGGTTCGCACACGTTACTTGTGGAGACTTGTGGGATGTTCAGGTGACCCTAAACTTCAAGGCAGATTAGAGTCCGGAACTTCAGAGGGTGTTGTTAAAATCGAACGAACATTTGCAATGTATGTGTTGCTCATTCTAACATGTGTTGCCATCGGTTGGTTTGTTACATATCTGTTCCTTTACGTATCTTGACTGTGGCTTTCCTTCATGCTGAAGGCAGTAGAAATGCTGTGCATGGATTCAAGGAGCTATGAGCACCTGGTGACGAGCCTGAATAGCAAAGTTTCGTTGTCCTCTTCTAGACAATGCGTTGCCTGTGTCTTCGGAGGTCGAGAAAGCAGCTTGTGGTAGAGATGGCCTAAAATGAGTTTCTTCCCTCCGACTCGGGTGTTCTTGTGTTGTCGCCATTGCTATTGCTTGCGTTCTTCATGCCGTAGCTGTCATTGTAATGGCGGTTGCTGTTGTTGCTATTGCTGTTGTTGACCTGTTACCCTCGGTACTGAAGGTTCTGGAAGTCCTTATTACGTTGCAGTGGTAGTTGAAACTCAGCCCCGGCAGCTGCTTCTGGATGCAAGTTGGACATCGCTGAAGCACATCGAACTAAAGAGTCTGACTGCAAGCTTACCCTTAACTTGCAAATTTAAGATCGTGTCGCTGTACTGTAGCTTCGCCTCCTCGAACCTCATGTCCGCGGTGACGTCGTCTAGCGGCGGGGACTTCCAGTTCATCAAGCTGGCAGCTGGGCCGTGTCAGATTAAGGTTTCATGCCGAAGACAGAAACCTAAACAGGCATGTCCAGACAGGTACATACATGAATACTCATTCCTACACATTCCCTGACACATGCATATTTATAACACAAACCGGTATGCACATAGACATCCTCCATATACAAATACACGTAGACATAGCCTTACACCGCCCAAAACAGAACAAGCGCGAATTGAACATCTGGAAGCCAAGCAGCAGCCTGGAGCTTCAGGAGATCGAGGATGACACCGGACATTTGGCAAAAAACAAAGAGTTTATTCACAAGAGATTAGGGTCTAGGATTTGGGGTTTATGGTATTTTGGAGGGATTCCATATGACAGGGCTCAGGTTCAGGGCTTATCGATATGATGTGGGGCTTAATATAAGTAGAACAGGATTCCTTTAAGCGCTCTGTTTACAGGGGGCCGACAATTCAGGATTACGGGAAGCGTCGCAATTTAGGTTTTGCTATCGGGCCTTAAGAACTAGAATGCGGCTTGGGGGTGTTGGGTGTTAATAGTAACTATTATCTGCAGTAAGGAACCCTCAGGAACAGTATTGGTCAGTACTACTTTACTTATATTCGGATCAGTCCGAGGATTGGTGAAGTCTGTATGAGGGTAATTCTCTAAATTAGGGTTCCTTTGGAGTCCCAAGTATAATAATAGTACGGCATCCTTCTCAAAGGTACCCTCATTTAGAGAACTTCCTGTGAAACTGCCGGGAAAGGCCTTGAGGCTGGGAGCTGGTCAGGAGGACGATACGCCCGTTTGAGAAAGCCGGGTCTTTCAAAGACGCTTCCAGCTCTACCTGTGACCCCAAACCCTACAAAATAGTCTATTATGACCCCTTAATTAGAGGGTAGAACCCCGAAAACAGTAGGTTTTGGGATCCCCAGGTATGCCTTATGAACCTCAAGGTTCTGTCCCCCAAGCCCGTCGAAACCCTAAATATGGATGTAGGTCTGCATTTCAACGACGCCTCTTCTATTCCATATAGATGGCTATCATATCTGCAAATCTCTCAGACCCCAGGCAATTTTCGAATATTGGAATAACAATGAACCCTTAACCCGAAACCCAGAACCCTGCACCCTTAACCCCGCACCCGTACCAAGTCCCCAACATAAAAACCTGTGCCTCAGAGACCCGGGGTCTGGGATTTCTCTGGTGAGCCCAGGGCTAGCGTGGTTGACATTGAACCGCCCAGACTCCCGGCCGAACAGTTACGGATGTTTTGGGACTTCTGGGGATCTGGGGTCATAGTGAGGATTCACCTTTTTTGGCCAGTGGAGGTCGAGGATGTTGGGCCTTTAGGGGTGGGAAGGGCGATTTGCGTGCGTGCCACTCCCGGCTTGCTCAAAGGCTAGATGGGGTTTCATGGGTTTCGGGGTCAAGCGCTTATAGGCTTAGAGGATCTCCTTTTTGGCTCCTGGCGACCTGAACCCTGGGCATTCCAAAGCATTGTTTTGGGAAGTTGCTTCCAGGCTCGATCCACTGACCTCAACCGTAAACCTTAAAAACCACCCGGCGATTTGAAGCCTAGGAGAAGTTGAACGCTCTTCACGTCCCAGCTGTACGAGAACTGCGGGAAGTGCTTCGACTGCATTTTCTGTTAAAGTTGTGGGTCTGGGTGATTATGATCAAGTTGCGTTCGCAGAAAAACGCGAGCTTTTCTGAAGCGTTCAAACGGAACATAGTATCGAGGAGAGGCAAACCTGAGCAGCATGAGCACTACGTTGCGATGCAGGCGTTGCGGCGGATAGCTGCGAGCTCTGCGAAGGCTGTGCAGGGTTTCGCGTTGGCATGTCTGAGGCGTTCTTCATGTGGCCTAAGTCCTGAGCGCAGGTTTAGTTAGTTAGGTTCTGGACTTCCGATTCTCGCAAGTATAACATTCAGGACAAGTCATGGCCTCAATTTTGTGACGTTCGGTGTCGGACTTCAGGAAATGTCGAGCCAGGGCTCGACTCAAGCAGTGTTTTGTGCCGAATTTTGCTTTGGCACGGATGGCCGGTTGCGCGCTCCAGTTTTCGGTTTTCCGAGCTCAGGTGCATCAGGCTCTTGATGGAGTCTCTTATTATTCAGTCCTGAGAGACTGAGTCAGCAATCCTTCCGGAATGTTACAGAGACTCAGGCTGGCATTTTTTGTGCAGATTTCCTAGCAAGCCTCTTCTTAGTTTGCTGTGGGTTCTGTCCAGGTTCGTGTTTGCGTTTAGATCCTTTACAGGTGTGAAGGGCTGGAAGGTGTAAGGGTGTTCCGCTGTATTAGTGGCCTTATGGTTCCACCAAAGGGGTATTCCGACTGTAGCAGGGAGGACGACAGCCTTCCAAACAAAAGCAAAAAGCTACAGGACGGTCCAAACTCTCAAGCTTAACTCTGAAACCGCCCCAAACCGAAAGCCTAGATTCTACAAGCCCTGAGCCTCAGAAGCTCTAAAGCCTCAGATCCTGCATGGAACCCTTGCAGAGCCTTTGGTTATGAAAAAACCCGTGTCAGATCCTGTCAGCAACTTCCCCAAAACCCTGCAACCCGAAACCCTAACTCTTACGGTTACCTTGAGACATGAACCCTATTCTGCTTCTCCAGGACCCTGTGCTCAACACCACCCTTATGAAACGTATAGTAACCTGATACCCTTGAAAGGGAACCCCTCAAGGAACAAGGCGGTAATTACGCTGTTCCAATTTTCAGGTCCTCAGGGTTGAGGGTCCTTAGGGTCCTTAGGGCTCTTAGGGCTCTTAGGGCTCTTAGGGTTCTTAGGGTCTTAGGGTTTGGGGTTTAGGGGTAGATTGCCCTGCAGGCGTTGCTGCTCGTGGCGTCTGGGCGCGGCTTTTGCGCAGGGGCGGATCTGAATCTCAAAGGCGACGCCGGTCGCTTCTGTTTTTTGTTTCTGGGTTGTAGGGCTTGTAGGGTTTTCGGGCTTCAGGGTTTTAGGGTTTGGAGTTTGTTTGTTTTTTGTTTCTGGGTTGTAGGGATTTCAAGATTTTTGGGGACCTCAGGGTTTCAGGGTTTGGAGTTTTTTTTTGACTTTGAGGGGTGAGGGTAGGGTTTTAGGGGGTTCAATGCAGCGCGACTCGGACCGAGGCTTCTATCTAGCTGTCTATGCACACACACATATATATATAATTATATAATATACATATATGTTTAATTGCATATGTTTATTTGTATGTTTATTGTCGTGTTAGAGTGGTTGAGTTCAGGGCTGTAGGCTTTGGGGAGATTAGGATTCATAGGGGGTTTACTTCCTGTATAGAGTTTAACTCGTTTCGAAGGTTTTTTCTGAGTCGCAGAAGTGTCATGCGGGATCGGGCTTCATGTTTATGGAATCTTGATGGTAGGCGTGCTTTTGTTTGGAAGAGTCTCGTGTTTGGGCCTGGTGACTGCTCCCTCCAAATCTTGTTTTGTCTCTATGAGGTATGTGTAGGTTGCAGGTAAGCTTCTATGTATACTTTGATTCTTAAATATGATGCATCGGCGACCCTCGGCAGAGCATATACCTCACTTCAGGGCTTTAAGGCTAACGTTAAGGTGTTCTTGGGATCGCTGCGTCCTCAACGCAACCCCAAAGCTGTCACGAAGCCTGCAGTCAAACACCGACACGATGTACCCGAGCCATGACGATTACAGCTGGAGAAGCCAAACCATGCAATCTTAATTCCCGAACGCCCGGCGACCAACAGCCACAAAATACTCGGAATTCATTGAGCTTCGGTTGCTAGTCTAGCCGTTTAGCTGCCTTATAATCCGAAATGCCAAGCACGACCGGAGCGCATGAATATCTCAAAAGCCTCGCCGCCCAGCCTTCTCTGATGCGCCCACCGCGCCTGCGAAAGCTCCGGCGAAGCCCGACAACTCCATGCAGGAGGCAGCCGTTTATCCAAGATCGGCTGCAGGGCCTCATCCTTCAAGAGATGTCCGAAGTCGAGAGCTATTTAAATTGAGAGAGCGGAGAAGGAGAGAACCCGCAAAGAGACCTACTGTACAACGAGAATCCCGAGGCTCTGAACACGAAGGCCTACAGTCTAAAGCCTATGCAGTAGAAGTGAGCAACACCAGCAGCCTTGAACCTAGCCATGGCTGTGCAGTACAGACCCGCTTGAAAGCCTTCACCCTAAAGCCATAAACCCAAATCTCTTGACCCTAAACGTTAAAACCCTAAACCCAACTCTCTAAACCTTGAACCCTTTGTTTAGGGTTTATAGGCCGAAACTAAACTCCTGCGCTTTCGTCTTGAAGCCTTCGACGTGTGCGCCTTTGCCCTCTGGAGCTTGAGGGGTTCAGGGCTTTGGGCTTTAAGGTTTACAGGGTTTAGGTTTGAGCGTTCAGGGTTTAGGGTTGAGGGTTTAGGTTTATAGGAGTTTAGGCTTAGGGCCTTTTGAGTTTTTGCCGCTTCAGTTTTGTTTTATTTGTGGGCTCTGCGGTCTCATGGTTGTGAGGACTTGGAAAGCTCGAGTTGCGACTGCTGGGGCCTTGATCCTCATGACGGTGACGTCCCAGTCCTCCTAACCCGAAGCACCACATCATGGTTTAGGATTGCAGGGTTTAGGGTCCGGATCCCAAGGCCAAGGCCAATATTGCAATAGATTCTGGACTTATGCTCGAGCCAAGTCACAAGACCCCATCAGGCGTGGAATCCTTTTATCGAGGACAGCTCCTGGGGTGTTCATACAGTGTCTAGACTTGAGTCGAGGGTCAGGGCACTAGCAAGGGCAGGTCCCCCACAAAGGGGCTTAGCTACTCTTTAAAGCGTAGGCTGTTTCTTCGATCTACGGGCAGTTCGGCTTCGTGCTCCTTTTGTGAGGCTTTCAGAGTAAACTCGCCTCCGTCTCATGCTAAAGCCGCACGGCAGATTGATGTTTAGCAAAGACCTCTTCACCCTCTTGACTCTCCTGGAAACGTTCTGCACATTACCATGACTGCAGCTGGTTAGTTGTATGACCACTGCTACTGCTATTATCTTGAATGCTACAAATACCATCTTACTTCAGAAACACAAACGATGGTCGGATGGTCGAATAGTGCCCGCTGTGAGCATGATCTCGCGCCGTCATTTGTCCGTGTTTTCTCTAACTGCCCATGCAACCACACCCTTGTCTCAGCATCCTGCTTTCGTCGGTGCTTGCATGACAGTGAGGCAGCTCCATCTGATCCGAGGCATGAGGGCCCTTCCCATTTGCAGGGCCTGCAAACATCAAGTATCCTGTCACTAAACAAACGCGGTAGTAGAGTTCCTAGACCCTACACATGCTATAGCAGCCAGGTAGATGCAAGAACCAAAGCTGCATATCTGCCTTTATCCGGTACACGAAAGGATTTGGCTGGTCAGAATCTCTCAAATGCATCGGAAGGAGCTGCGCAGCTTTCCGAAGCCGACGCTGGCCGTGGTACAGGGTCCAACGGCTGGAGGCGGTTGCCGTCTAGCGCTTCGCGCTTGAATTGCAGAGCTGGTAGCTTAAGTCCGTTTAAGCTCATTGAATAAGTAAAGCGCTTAGGGTTCCTTACCCTCGACAGGTGGAGTCGGTGTGGCTCTAGCGACCGACATCACCATTGCCGCCCGGTCGGCGTACTTTGTGCTGACTTTCACCCCGACTTTGGCCCCTGGACATGCACAAGTTTTTTTGCTTATATCCTGAAGCCTATACTTTGAGCTCCAGAAGTTCAAGTTAAGGGCTTCGAGCGTAATTACGAGTACTGCTCTAGGGGAGAGAACTGATTGCGGTGATGAGAGTTCATATATAGTCCCAGGCCCAGGGACCGCAAATTCGGAATCCAAGAGCTCGGAAGTCGCAGCTGCCTGCCTGAATCCACGTTCTGCTGTTGTTCCAACCCCGTGTTTCCAGGCCTTGGTCACAACCTGGTGCTTCTTCTCAATATAGTAAACCGCAAAAGGTCGGAAACCGGATTAAGGACAGTTCGTGCCTCTAAAGGATTGAGGCTATTGGGTTTGCAACTTTCGGGCTTCTACTTTAACTTCCGACTGTGCCTTAGACCATTTCGATCGGCATGTGTCCAGAGTTAGTTCCCGACCGGCTCATCCCAAAATACCAACCTGCAAACAACTTGTTGGGCCCTTGCAAATGGGTCTGCCAAAACGTGAAGCCTCAGACGCCGTGGTGCGAGATATACCAGCCCAGATTTACTGTAAACCCTCAACCCCCAAACCCTAAACTTAGGCCTCATACACAAACTCTTCACCCCAAGCACCTTGAACCGAAAACCTTAAGCCCAAAACCTTTACCACCCTAAACTCCAGACACCTAAAACCCTAAGCCCAAACCTTGCTTTGTCTGAGAGTGAGCCCCAACACTCCAAACCCTAAACCCGTGATTCCTAAACCCCGAGCCCTAAACCCGAAACACCCCAAAGCCCAAACCCCCTAGCCACCCCAAACCCCTTTTGGGAACAAAAAACTAAGCCCAGGGCATTTGCCCAGATTTGGGCGTCACCTGGCAGTTGGTCCGAAGGATTGGTCGAGGTTGCGCCCTTAGCCTTCAGTTTTTGGGATTTAGGGGTCAAGAGCTTTAGGGATTTGGGGCGGCCAGGGTTTAGGCATTTAGGCATTTGGGGTTTTGGGTTCCGTTTTTATGGCTTAGGGGCATGTTCCGCAAGATGCCAGACGCTTTAAGGAAGTTTTGGGGGTTGGTGGGCCTTGCAGCTCGGTGTGTGTCAGGTTTTGTTTGCTTCTATATAACATTGAAGCCAAAAATAACTACCTATATAATGTAGAAGCCAAAATCATGACCAACAGTCTTCCCCAGGGTTGCTTAATGTAACAATGTAACTATACTATAAAGGAGACCAAAACCCTCTTCTAATTATTAAAGGC